ACAACCGGAAAACACATTGGGGAATGATGTTGTTATTATAACGGTCAAAGTGGTTCCCTGCTAGAACTCCTCTCCTGTTTACAGCCCTCAGCCAGTGATGCCAATTCCACATTCCTATGGCAGTGGGAAATCCTTTCTATTGGACAAGTGCGGTTGACTCTGCACAAAGTGGCGTTTAAGAGGGATGATAGACTCACTCAACCTCTGACCAGGAACTTGAGACCTTCCGATAGCAATTAGTGAACTCTATTGCTGTATCACCTGGTTGGTAATTGCAGTGCTAAAATACAGCATGATACAATTCACTAATACGCTTAATTTTCATTTGTATACGTGCAGCCATATTGACTCTCGACTGTTGCTGTGTAGGTTGTGGAGGCGATTTGAACATACTTTGCCACGCTGGTAATTGCAGGTTGTTGAAAGCAAAAGGGACATAGATGTGTGAGCACAGTATGGCACGACAATATATTTTACCACGCTGCTCAAAACCTAGTCCTGCTGCAGTCTATAAATACATGCTATGCACATCCAAGCACGATTCAAACTCGTGCCTGCTTTACTTCCGAGATCAGATGATCAGGTGCAATCTGTGTGATTTGGTCATCGGCTATGAATAACATTAAATTACAATAAAAACATATATTGACATTCATAATACATAATCAACGTTTTTGGGTTTAGATCGCGTTATTTATAAATGTGTTGTAACCCTCCACCACCCGACACGGCCAATCAGTAAAAAAGTGTCACGTTGACAAAAGACAATTAGTTCACTGCTTTAGCCCACCGGTGTGTTGAAGCGTGAAACCACAACAATTTACAATTTGAGTACGACGTTTCGCTGGTAATTGCATCCAGCATCATCGGACAATTCGCCAGAATGGTGAGGCTCTGCTGTGTCTCCCGTTATTATATAGACACAGCAGAGCCTCACCATTCTGGCGAATTGTCCGATGATGCTGGATGCAATTACCAGCGAAACGTCGTACTCAAATTGTAAATTGTTGTGGTTTCACGCTTCAACACACCGGTGGGCTAAAGCAGTGAACTAATTGTCTTTTGTCAACGTGACACTTTTTTACTGATTGGCCGTGTCGGGTGGTGGAGGGTTACGACATATTTATAAATAACGCGATCTAAACCCAAAAACGTTGATTATGAATAATATTGGTCGCGAAAGCCTACGTGTTAAACATTCATAATACAAATTTTTTATTGTAATTATATCGTTATTAAAATAGTGGTGTTGTATTATCCGATTACGAAGACGGGTCGTAAGGGGTGGTGATATCATGGGGGGGGGGCTTCATCTCACAGTGGGTAGATCAAGGTTGATTTTTATTTTTCTGTTTTATTAATTTTAAGTTTTTTACCTACGTGACTTTACCGAAAAAACCTAAGAATATACATAGTTTTGTTTTCACGGAAATCTAGTTCTCTGAAATGGGTGAAAGTTAAGACTGTACAGCATGGGACTCGGTTGCCTTGTGTGGCGTGCACTTGGTCCCGCAGCTTGTGCTGGCAGTGGAATGTTTTTGAGATTTATTTTTCTCCGCATTCGCCCTGGAAATTCTGTGCTGCAGAAACAGCAATGACACCATTTTCCAAAGAGGCTTACCCGTCAAGCTGTTTCCTTGCTTCGCTGCAGACGGTGGTGGTTGAGGCGGAGGAATTGGTACACGTTACTTAGTCATACTTTTCCACTCCGTTTAGAAGTAACAAATTATTATTCAGGTCATTGCTAATGCAGTTGCTGGAGCTTATCTTTCTATGCAGTTTGTACTTATGGGGTTATGTATTTTATTTCCTACACTGAAATGGTGCAGTTGCTCGTAATAGGTCATTTCAGAATAGATGGAGTTAGATTGTCGATTAGTTATGCTCAGGGAGAGCAATGCAAACTTGAATGCACATACATTTTACTGGTAGGAGCCTCCTGGTTACACCAGCCCACAGGGGATTATTGTGTCCGTCGTGCAAGGAGGGGCTGGGTGGGGAGGGTGGGGCTGGGTTGGGATGGGAGGGTGGGGGGGGGCTGGGTGGGGAGGGAGGGTGGGGCTGGGTGGGGAGGGAGGGTGGGGCTGGGTGGGGAGGGAGGGGCTGGGTGGGAGGGAGGGGCTGGGTGGGGGGCTGGGTGGGGAGGGTGGGGAGGGGCTGGGTGGGGCTGGGTGGGGAGGGGCTGGTCACCCCGTGGTGCCCTTATAAAACTCAACGTGTAACCTACTCACGCCGGCTTGTGCCCGCCCTCAGTCAGGCATATTTGCGGAATACACCACGCCGCCGTTGACCCTGGCCATTGACGGAGCAACCCAACGTTCCTACCAGCTCCCTCCGCAGGAATGTGTTAGGTTGTCCAAAAACACGAGAGTGTAAGTTATGTTTCAGAGTCTCAGAATGTGCTGTAATGAAAGGAATGGAGGAATGTTCCTCGTTATTTGTGTTCTTTCTCCCTTGAAAAAGAGACTGCAATTTCAGTGGTCTCTTTACCGTTTCTAATTAAATGTTTAGAAATCAAGGAATCCTCCATGCGAGTGAAAGAAAGCCCCCCCCCCCCCCACATTGAGATCGGGAGGTGGGAGCAGAAGCGGAGCTCGCTTGACGTGTAGTTTATTTGTAGGACTGCGTGGAAACAATACTTTGCCTATGGATAATGAATAAATGGGAAAGAATTGGAACGTTTGCACAGCGGTTTCATTACACGAGAAATACCACAAGCTGGGAATATTAATGAGTGGGTGCTCATGCTACTACTGCATAACTGTACATTTGGGCACTGGACTGGCATGAAGAGCGAAGCAGGCACCGAGGTGCAATTAACCCGCCCGACAGCGCAACAAAAAAAATCCCATAATGAGGATTGAAAACTTGGCTGAAATGTAGCGCACCCCATCGTGTTTGACGAGAGCATTTGATGCTCATTTCTCCGAAATTCAAGCAGCCGAGCCAACAATGGATAGAACATTCATCGGCGTTGATAATCGGACCAAATGGCACCGAATCGAATGTAAATGTTAGCCTTGCTGCTTACTTAGCACAAGTGTTCTCTTTACGATTGCTGTTCATAATTAGATGAGCGGTGTTGCCTGTGTTGATTGAATGTTTTGTGTGTCCAGTTTATGTCCATATTTCAGCATCGTTTGCGGACCTCGGTGTCCTATTTATAGTTCACGAATGCGTTGCTTAACGTTAGATACGCCTTGCCTCTTCATTCCGGCATTGCTCATTGGATTTATTATACTTTAACAGACAATGTAAGTGGCGGGGAAGGGGGGAGAGGAATCTTTGCGCCTCTAATTTTGTTATGTCGACAGTGTCACATTTAAGGACAAAGGCCGTCAGCCTGTGCTATAATAAGCAATCATTGACAATACGTTATGCCGCAATACATTGTGTTACTCATACACATGAGCACTCGTTATGCGCGTGCTATGTGACATTTTACTTAATCTGGCCTGTTTTAAAAAAAAAAAATATTTGGTCGAACAGGTGTGAGAATATGTACGTATGTGTGTGAATGGGGTTGCAGCAGTGGGGAGCGGAAGTGTAGCATTTCGCGTGCTGTGCTACGAACCTGGCGACCCAAGTTCAATTCCCACTCACGGCCAACACAAGTGACGATTATTTGAATTGGTCGTAGGCCTTCTCTTGGTCAACTCAGCCTCAAATGAGTACCTTGTGTGATGTGTAAACATCACCACTGGGGAGACAAAATCGGCCAGGCGTGGTGCTAGCCACCCACCCCATCGTGTGCTGTGCCGGCCTTCATAGGTGTTCACTAACAGTTTGTTAAGGCTAGAGGGGAGATCTTTGTCTTTATATTTTAGGGCAGCAGTGGTGTAGTGGTTAGCACACTCTATTACAATTCCAAAAACATTGCTTTTATTCCTGGCCACCCATAGCTATTGGAATATAAATTTGGCCTGTCCCTCAACCAAGTCAATTTAGCCTAAAATGTGTACTTCGTGCAATGTATCAACATCAGCACTGGGAAGACAGGCACCACAGGTGGTGTTTGTTGGTTCTACCACCCACTCCATTGTATGTAATGCTGTTTCTGATAGGTGCTCGCTGACAGGACTGGCACCGAAGTAAAGTCACCAATGCACTTAATGTTGCATATTTAATTTAGAGTAAAACAGAATTATTTTTCACTTTAAGAAGTTTTTTTTATGACAACAATATCTATTGGGTAATGGTGTCATGGTCCCAATGCTGCTTGTTTTGTTTGATTGTCAGCTGAATTAGTGTGTGCTGTGCAATACACAACACATTGTCACAATTCACAATCATGGTTCAGTTGAAGTATTGATTCCTCTTTGTCTTGTTTTTGCCATTTTGTTGTATCGTTTCAGAATGTTTTTGTCTTCATAGATTTTTGTTCGTGCCATTTACTGAACATAATATGCATATAATTTGTATATCATTAGAATATATCCAGAATAAGTGGTACACATATGCGATATGATACATTAATTGCCATCATAATAATCGATCCTAATGGATGCATTTTTAATATGTCATAATCCACATTTCTCTTGATTGTGTGTGTCTATAGCAGTCACATTTATATGCGATATTAATCTAGTTGTTAAGAAATGAATCAAGACATCATTACAAACGTATTGAACATACGCGCATATTTGAATTGTTTTGGATTTTTGTGCATGCACCCATACAGCAACAAATCCCCTGATCCGAGTTCCATTCCCAGCCACGGCCAACATTAGTGGACAATGTTTGAACAGTTTTTGGAAGGGGGCGCTCCCTATGTCCACTCATCCTTACAGTAGTACCTGCTGCTGTTTGTAAACATCAGCGCTGGGAAGACAAAGACAGCTGGGCGGATTCTGGCCACACCGCGCCCTCGTTCGCCATGCAAGCCTTTCGCCGGTGCTTGTGACAGCACATGCCACAACAGTCCGTAAAAAAAAAAAAGTCAACACGGGGAAATCGTGATCTCTGTTTTTGTTTTTTGTGCATTCGCCCGTGCCTTCAAGGTGGTACAAGTTGGAGTCGAAGCCCGGCAAGAAGGAGAAGGAGCGCGGCGAGCTCGAGGTCAACATCCAGTACATGCGCAACAACCTGACGGCCAGCATGTTCGACCTGTCGCTCAAGGACAAGAAGCGCACGCCGTTCGGCAAGCTGCGCGACAAGGTGTCCGGCAAGAAGAAGGAAGGCTCCAAGGGCGGCGAGTCCTCCTCGGCCGTCGTGTCATCTTCGGCCGCGATGGACAGCGACGAGGAGGGGCATGCACCTGACGTTGAGCAGAAGAAAAAGAAGACCAAAACCCTGAGCCTGTTTTCCAAGTGGGTCTTCCTGCCTCCTCCCTCTATGTTTTTCAGAAGGCACTTGCCTTGTAAATGGGAACATCTTAATGATTTACGAAACGTAATTAATCCTCTACTAGTTGAAAGCCTCCTCACTCCCTGGTGAGGGTTTGTTTGCGCATACTTGTTTAGTGCACGTTGAAGCAGGGGTCACTCTTGACTGGTTCCGATATCAGTCAATCGCCACCGATGTTCGCTTTCACCGAGAGTTAAGCTCCGGTTATCGGATTCATAGCACGTTGTGAGAACCAGTGTACCCCACCGCTCCACCCCTAGCACACCCTGCTGCTGTTGGTTTACTAATAGGTTCGTGTTTGTCATTCCACTTATAACTCAAACTTAAATAAGTGTGGTGGCCAGTGCAATGAAAACAAGAAAAACTCCTCTTTCTCGATGCAGGGGTTTGACCTGACCTCGAGATTGTGCAAAAACTTGCACCTCTTGACGTGTGGCCACATTTCAATTAATTAAAAAAAAATCATCATACTTCTATTAATTAAATAAAATATCTTTGTATTCTTTATCATCATCATCTTACGGCTATTGCTGTACTTGAACGATGTTAGTCCATCATTTCACTTTTAACCAGAAAATAAAAAATAGTAAAAGGATGAGCTGCCATGTACACGTGACTGCACCAAAGGTGCTGTTGAAGCTCGTAATTCATCATGTACCTCCTCTAAAATCCTGTGGGGGAAATACAAGTTACATAGGGGTTCATTGCCATTATTTTGATGGGAGAGTAGATTTTTGGTACCAATCTTGTATACCTTGGAAATCATAATTGAGCCTTAAGACTCATTTTAATACGTTTTCTGCATTGAGATGTTTTCCTAATGCCCCTCTCGAGTATTTTTTGTGGTTAGAAAAACATCAGTGCCTCGAGAATAACCCATGAATACAAGCAAAGAACACTCAAAGCCTGCGCAATACTCATCCAAAAAAACACTTGAAACAACGTCATTCCTACAGACACCTCACTGCCCTGCAGATGTGTGTTTCACAGACTTAATTGCTACGTTCTCATTAAGATCCACTATCCCTGTCATAGGCATTGATCCCAGCCACCACCCCCGCTTTTAAGTGAGACGAGTGGACGTGCAGGTTGTTAGTAATAGGAATGCGTTTGACGGCGCAGTGGTGTGGAACAGCACGAGTTTTGATGACCATTACCCGGGTGCGCACGTGTGTGTGTACGTGCACGACAGGTCAAGCATGCAGAAGGGCTCTGTGTCCCAGTCGATGCTTACTCTCCCCACGAGCAAGGGGCTCGGCAGCCTGGCCTCCCTCTCTCCGTTTCGCCACCACGGCCGTCGGGAGAGCAGTGGCACTGCGTCCGTCAACTCTGACTCAGATTCTGTCGGAGGCAGCAACCCTAATCTGGCCGACAGCCCCGGTAAGCACGGGTTTCTTGTTTTTCTTTCCTGTTTGGTTTTCTTGCCACGTTTTTAAGGAGTGAGTGTTGCTCTTTTCCTTCTGGATCGCCATGTGCAGCAGCTGCATGTGTTTTATTTTACGAATGCATACCCCTGTTGTGATGTCGCAATAGATAGCGGGTAACAGTCTGTCTCTAATACAGCCCCTTTTCAATCCACTGCTGGATGAAAGTGTCCCAGTGCCTGTTGTTAGGATTATTTGACCATGCTTTTCCGCAATGGTACATGCTGATTGGTCAAGAGTAAGGTACACCCTGGACCAATTCAGGTATCGTGTGCACCACTGATGTTAGCCATGGTGTGGAATCGAACTCAGGTCACCGGGTTTTTAGCCACAGTGGTCTAACCACTGCGCCTCTGCCACTTTCCCTACTGACTACGGTTTATTCTTTAAAAATAGTTCTAGTGTTGCTTTCAGAGCCTGGATGAACTTCACTTTTTGGGCTTTTTGTGTTATTTAAAGCCACCCCATTTGCAAGCAGCTTACTGGATGATGAGAAAATAGGCTTTTTGTGTTCACGAGATAACAATCACCTTTGTGGAATTTTTTTACGTTCAAATTTTCTTTGGTGTTTAGAATAATTGATTAACTAAGCTCATTCTTTGGTTCTTTCGGTAAAGTCACGTATAAAGATAAAATAATAAATTAATTAATATCATACTACGACGGACGTTTCGATTGCAACACAAGCAATCATCAGGTATAAAAGAAATAGCAACAAAAATTTAACCAGAAAACTATAGACAGACATATAAGCAGACAGATATCACAAAGATACACAGAGAGAGAACGCGTATCGGCACAAAGAGAAAGATCGTCTCTGTGACGAGGCCTTAAATATGGAGAGGGGGTGGGGGCGGAGAGAGGGAGGGGGCAGAGAAAAAATTAGCATGTCAATGAGTGGACGACGACGTGGTACAGTACGCAAGCTTGAAAATTAAGATTGAACCACTTCTACGGGGAAGTTTTAAGCTTACCTTTTTTCTCTCTCTCTGATTTTTTGTTTTCTCTCTCTGCCTGTGTCCTCTCTTTGGAATTTTCACACTTAAATTCTAACTTAGCAATCTTTGAAATACGTAATCAACCAGGCTATGCGTTAATTGTGTGTTGACCGACTCTCTGTGTTGCATTACATTACATTTCGATATTTTGCTAGGTTATTTAATTTTAGTGTGTCTTTCTCCTAATTTTCAAGCTTGCGTACCGTACCACGTCGTCGTCCACTCATTGACATGCTAATTTTTTCTCTGCCCCCTCCCTCTCTCCGCCCCCGCCCCCTCTCCATATTTAAGGCCTCGTCACAGAGACGATCTTTCTCTTTGTGCCGATACGTGTTCTCTCTCTGTGTATCTTTGTGATATCTGTCTGCTTATATGTCTGTCTATAGTTTTCTGGTTAGATTTTTGTTGCTATTTCTTTTATACCTGATGATGATTGCTTGTGTTGCAATCGAAACGTCCGTCGTAGTATGCTATTATTTAATTTATTATTTTATCTTTATACGTGACTTTACCGAAAGAACCAAATAATAATTCCTGCAGTCACGAAAACTCCAAAATTAAGATTAACTAAGCTCAATTATTAAACAAAGTTACTTTTTACGTGGGTTAATGTGGAACTTGCTTATGGCTCTAAACGTTTTATTATGAGTCTCAAGTCCCAGCTTCACAATAAATCTTGACCCCTCAATTCATTGTCTTATTTTTTTGCATTAAGAATAAACTCGTACATTGTGAACAATGAACAGCCTTGAAAATGTACCTGAAAGTTCGGCTTGTCTGGACTTTATATAGTTTTATAATTTTAACTTTTTGAACCTTACTCATAAGTTCAGCTGAGGGTGATTTGTGCTCACTGCAACCCAAGTAGAGTGGCGATCCACTCGTTAAAAAAGTTTGTAAAAAATATAAAACAATTTCAGTTTAATTTGTGATGTGTATCTGTTATCAAATTGTTTAAATTTTTAATTATTCTGATGAGAAAATTATCACTTCATTTGCTTCAGTTTTACAGCATAGTGGCCAGATTGAACTTAAAATGGCTTCAAAATTAATCACTATATTTAGGTCATATTTTTATAACATTGCCCACATTGGTAGAACATTATAAAATAATTTATTGTTCATACGAAAAGACAAACGGAGCATTAACTAGCCTAGTTGACGTGTTTTACATTAATTGCTTAATTCATTACAGCCCACATGAAAACATCTACATTAAAAGAGAAATCCAATAACCTCCCTTGTAGCAGCGTGACAGTGTGTAACAGCGATAATTGATAACAAGGAAAATCTTTTACCATTTCATAAATTGTGATACTGAGAACAATCATGATTAAACCAGAATTAAATTACAAACTTTAATCTGAGTTTTTAATATATAATTATTACTATTAAAATATGCCTTGCGATAGATTAAGTTTCCCTAATTAAGAGTGTGGTCTGAATCCTGATTGGTTCAACAGAGAGACTACAAAGTAGAGAAACACTGTTTGACGCATGCATTCATAGCTGAGAAAAATATACCCGTTAAAACTAATTTCAATAGCATTAAAAAAAATATCCCATAAACTTTTTTGAATTGTTGTTCTGAAGTGCTCATTTGGATAAACGTTGTCTTATTGCAAGCTAATCCTGCACAGCGCCTGAGTATTTGTAAATTGTGAAACTTTAAATTTAGCTCACAGTTAATGTGAAAATAAGATTATTACACTGTACTGTCTATGGTGCCCATAGGTTTTTGTATCCACTCAACCTAAGCTTGATCTTCTGGATTAGGCCTTGTCGAGTGCTTATATCCACTACAAACTACCATGGGCATTTTCAGGAATTGAACATACCCACAATCAATTGTCTCATTTGGGTTGCATTAACAGATAACATTTTGAATAAGAAACATGCTCAAAACTAACCTGATCATTAATTTGGTGTTGGAGAACTAAAGATGCTCCTGGTTTGTGCATGGCAAAGCGAGGGCAAGAAATCATGTGCACCAACAGGGACGCACAAACACGTCCACGTCGACACCTACGAGCACCTCGTGCTCTCTTTTAGCCCCGCCCCCCCCCTCCCGATACGTTCCATTCATTGGCTACCACATTCTGATAAGCTCCCCCCCCCCTCTCCTCCCCCTTAACTTGTATTTAAGAGCTTGCATCTTGGAATCCCTGCCTCACTTGATGCAGCAAATCTGGCTGTGACGGTCCCACCTGATGACGGAGACTTGTGTTGCCTCCGAAACGTCGTGATTTTATTATTTTATTTTTATTAATTTTAATTTCATTTTTTACCTACGTGACTTTACCGAAAGAACTAAGAGTATGAATCCTTGCAGTCACGAAAGCTTCAAATCTAGAAAGAAATGCTTAACACGTAATCTAACCCGGACGACCAGACTTGAATAAGTTCTGATGGCCTAGCATTACGAGTGCGTGCGTGTATCCGTGTGGCTCGTAAGATGGGTCCCCAGGCGCTTCCAAGTCTGACGCCGAACCGCACCCCGGGCTAAGCACTTCTCCCCTGGCCTCCACCGAAGTGCAGTCTACTCACCGCCGGCACGTGTCGCTCACGGGCATCGAGGAGGAGGAGGGCAACCGAGAAGGCCTGCCGGGGAAAAGCAAGAAGAGCACCAGCAGCGGCGGCAGTAACCCGTTTGGGAGCGACGACCTGGGGGACGCGAACCCCTTCGCCAACAAGAAGGGGGCAGACGACCCGGCACACAAAAACCCCTTTCAGGAGAAGTCGCCCCCTTCAGGGTCTGCGTCTTCAGCCCCCGGTGATTGTTTAACTTTTGTTGTTGTGTGTGCTTTGTATTACCTGTGAGCAACTCGCATGGAATGCACCCAAACTCGTGCTTGTCCATCCAAGCACTATCCCCCAATGGGACGGGTGACCACGGTTGTCATAGGCTGGCAGGCTATATGATGGGCAGTAGAGCGTAATCGGTTGTTGTGCTATACTTCTATGCTTCCGCATCTATGGAGCTCGCCTTTACCAACATGCACTGACCAGCGTGGTGAATTAATGGTCAAATAATTTCCATGACCCCCATGGCATGGGAAAGCCCTCATTTAGAAGTGGATTGATGTACATATAATATAGGTGTACTCCAGATGATAAATAATTTCATGGAGCTTAGAAGGAAGACATTTGTTAGCCGGCTAGTTAGTCGGAGAGAAAATATTTAAGCTGTTGCGATTTGATTAATTATCACAATACATAGCCACATTGATTAAAGTATTAAAAGAGTCAGTGTAGCGCCTCCAGTGGTTACAGGGGTCAAAAGCATTTGACGTGCAATGTCTACAAATCGAAAATCCATCTTAGAGGTTTTTAGGGTTAGATCGCATAAATATATAAATGTGTCGTTAAACCCGCCACCACCCGACACAGCCAACTAGTAAGGGTTGTCACGTAAACAGAACGTGCCAATTCGTTACTAGTACAGCACACCGGTGTGCTGGAGAGCCAAGCCACGAGATTTACAATCTGAGTACGACGTTTCGCCAATAATTACAACTAGCTTCATCAGGCGACAGCCAGATTTGTGGAGAAGTCCACCTGTTTCGTTCCTTAAATAGAGGGGTAGATGTGATGACAACACTTGCGCGCTCCTCTTCTTGCGCAAAGTGGGGAAGGATTCATGAATCGACGTACATTGTGCGTGCGCATTATACGAGCCCTTTGATCTTGTTCTTCCTGTCCATTGTGTACTAAAATAGCCGATCCAACGGTAATCCCTCTTGAAGTATGGTTGGCCTGTATAGGCATGCATTTAAACATTTTATTTATTGAACCTTATGGCGGGATCCTAGGGTCCCGCAATAAACGGAAGTCAAAATCGTACTTTATTTTTGGCGACTCCGTCCCACCTCGCACATAAACGCCGCGACTCACCTGGCGCGGATCATTCTGTTGTCATGTCGTCCAAGCGCAGCGAGGACGAATGTGCAGAAGAAACAAAACTTAGAAACTTTGATTAGCGCATCGTGTAGAGCTCGTCGAGAGACTTAAAATGACGTCACAACGCAGTTTATGCGAGAGCCGGGTGCTTATGGGACCCTGGTTAAGGTTAATTTGATGATTCGCTTCCAAGCAGCACTAAGTCCGTAGCGATCCGAACAGTCATAATAATTTTTCTATCTCTCAATTTCGATAGCTTCTCGAATTAGTCTTGCCCAGTAGTAACTAGTTTTGCACAGAACTTCAACATTATCAAAATTAATTGAGTGTCCTTCTTGGCACGTATGTTCTGCTACTGCTGGCAGTTGTATTTGGGAGTATTTAATATTTCGTAGGGGTTCTTTGGTCTCATGCTGATCACTGTTCCTGTTTGCCCAATATAGCATTTGCCACAAGTGCAATTAATCCGGTACACACCTTCTGTTGATAGATTCGGTAATACATCTTTTGTGCCATATCTTAATTTCTGTATTTTATTTACCAAGCCTCGGATGTTTTGTTTTTCCAAACATCTGGCTAGTTTATCAGTTACTCTCACAATGTACGGTATTTTAATAGTTTTAATTACTTGGGCAGTTTAAATGCTCGTGTCATTTGATTTGGTTTTGACATTCAATGCCCTGTTGATTTGTGCATCATTGTAACCGTTCAATTGCAGCGCTTCTTTAACATGATTAATTTCACTTCCCAGGCTATCACCATCTGACACTTTCTTAGCCCAATGAATTAGCGTCTTGATGAGATCGGATTTCTGTGCGTGGTCATGGTGTGACTCTGCGTTCAGATAGGCGTTTAAATGCATGCCTATACAGGCCAACGATACTTCATTAGGGATTACCGTTGGTAAGGCTATTTTAGTAGACACAATGGATAGGAAGTACAAGATCAAATGGACTCGCATAATGTGCATGCATAATGTCAGTTGATTCATTAACCCCCCCCCCCCGACTTGGCACACGAAGAGCACACAAGTGTTGTCATCACATCTACCCCTCTATTTAAGGAACGAAACAGGTGGACTTCTCCACAAATCTGGCTGTCGCCTGATGAAGCTAGTTGTAATTACTGACGAAACGTCGTACTCCGATTGTAAATGTTGTGGCTTGGCTCTCCAACACACTGGTGTGCTGTACGAGTAATTAATTGGCATGTTCTGTTTACGTGACAAACCTTACTAGTTGGCTGTCGGGTGGTGGCTGGTTTAACGACACATATATATGTGATATAACCCAAAAAAACCTGTATTATGGATGATATTGGTCGTGAAAACCTGCGTGTTAAATCGTAAATCGTTCATCATTCTTACACTTCAGTGCATTTATTGTCAGCATAACAATCATTTGTAATTGATGCGTCGTTTCTTGCTTGCCAACGAATACACGCAAACTGACTTTCACTATCTCAGGTTTGTAATGGTATATCATGTCAAATTGTTCTTTTGAGCAAAGTTACGTGTATTTTTGCGAGTAGATACATTGGCTAATTAATGTTATAACACAGGCCTACATTTCCGTACACAGTCAGTTTTTAGAACACTCAGAAGTGGTTTGTTCTTGTTGACCGCAATTAAAACAAAGAACAGGAGGGAGGAAAAAAAAAAAAACCCTTTGGGGCATCTGTTTCTCCCGCAGCAAAAAAATCGGAGGAAAAGAAAAGTCACTCTTCAGGGTTCTCCCTGCCGAGCCTCACCAAGTCGTCCAGCAAACCGCCCAAGGTGCCCGAGCAGTCCAAGCACGCGGATGCGGAACAGCCCAAGAAAGAGTCGGGCAAGAAGCTCAAGCTGCCTTTCTTCTCGACGCCAGACAGCAAGGCAGAGTCCGCCCCCGAGAGCTTGCCGGCCGCCACAAAGCACCCGGCAGAGGAAGTGGCGACGCGGGAAAGCCCAAGGCCCAGCGTGGCGGTTAACCCGTTCACCATGGAGGGCAATGACACGGAAACTGTGACGAAGCCAGGGTGAGTGCTGTCCCTGCGCCGTTGAAAGCTGTCCGGGGGGGCCCCACCACTACACCACCACCACCACCCCCCCCCAGTTCCTCCATCTACCTCCCGAATTTTGTTGGTTTTACTGCTGCCATTTTTCAGGTCAACAACAAGCCGCTTTAAAATTAAGGATACGTTTTTCGGCGTGTTTTGATTTCGATGTAAAATGAGTTTATTCACACTCTGCAAAGTGTAAATTGGACTAAATCCGCCGTGCATGTCCTAAGGCGATTTTTGCCATGTGTCGCTCGCCGTTTTGGGCCGTCTGTCATCTTGACTGCGGCGGCGTTTATAATTTAAAATAATTACGCGCACCTTCGTGTAGCTCTGCATTTGATGAGCAACTGCTCATGTTTCGTCATCCGTCTTGTGCAGCGTGACTTCTTCTCCCCTGGAAGCTTACGTCTTGAAGAAACAAGTTTTGCTTTCCCAGAAGTCTGCCATTTGGACTTGAATACAATATAATACACTTTAAGGCAATTAGGAGATTACTTTTCTGATCATCTACACTGCATTTTACACAGCATGTAGAACACAAAATGCATTTCCATTAAATTTAATTGCTTTGCAGTTCTAATTCGTGACGTGTAAGTTCAAGCGTACATTGCAGGATTGTTGCGGCACAATCCGGTTAGTCTAAGGCAGCGTCTCGTTTGTTCTCCCTGCAGACGGAACACGTCTCCTCAGGCTGAAATCAACCCAGTTCCCTCCCTCAGTGCCTCCTTTCCTACTTTCAGCTCCTCCTTATCATCTCCTCCTGCTGTCTTTGATAAGCTGCACCCTGCTCGCACCTCGCAAGCATCTGACAATGTAGGTCTAGATATGACGTATGACGGGGAACAATCTCCTGGCAGTCTTGAACATTCGGGGGAAAGGGCAGAACCGACTTTCAAACGCATTGATAGGTCAGCTTCTTCTCAACTGGTAAAGGCCCTCATGGGTTCTCGACGCGGTCAAGCAGATCAGTCGCCGCCATCCATTGTTGACGAAGAAGCTACTTCAATTCAAAGCATTGAGGTTGCGAAAGTTGAAGAGAAACATGTGGGACGGAAAGATCCTCCAAGGGACCCTTTTGTTGAGCCTGTGGCAGCTGAAGAAAAGTCTGGCAAGAGCTCACGTGTCGTGAAGGAAACTCCTCTGGTGGACTTGGAAGCTGAACAAGATGTGGAACCACCAAAACCAGTAGCAAGGAAACCACGAGCAAAGGAGCCGAAAAGCCACAGCACTCCGGACACAGTGGTTCCTCCTCCAGTTCCATCACGGAGGATCAAACCAGAGGACAAAACGGAAGTGATTCTGCCCCAGACATTCGAGGTGGTCAATCCAGCAGAAGCTGACCTTGGGCAACTTGTTAAACCTCCCTCTGATCGTGTGTTGAGAGGTGTTTTGCCTCTGCCAGAGAAGACTGCATTTGACGTTGAGCCCAAGAAGAGTGTAGACCTAAATGCAGATGCAGCATTTAAAACATTCAGCGAGTCTATTGATGATGATTTTAAAATGCCTTCTGTTCCAGATGAATCACCCTTCCATATAGGAAAGAGCAGTGTCGGGTTCCCAGCTGTCGACGATCCCAGTGGTTTTGTAGACAAAGAAAATGATTACGTAAAAACTAGTCCTGTGGAATTATTTTCGAAGAAGTCACCTCCTAGCAGTAATGCCAGCCCAACTCCTGCCAAAACAGAAGAGCCTTTTTCTTTCGAAAGCATATCTGCATCAGTGAAGTCTACAGGGCATATGTTTGTAGCAGATGATGATGATGATGACGATAATGATGTAAAAACTATTCCTGTGGAGTTATTTTCAAAGTCATCACCTCCTAGCAGTAATACCAGCCCAACTCCTACAAAGACAGCAGAGCATTTTTCTTTGGGAAGCAAGTCTGCATCAATAAAGTCTGCAGACCACATGTCTTTAACCAAAACCTTAGGCTTTGGTGCTTTTCAGGAGTCAGAAAGTCGATATGTAAAGGAACTGAGCGATGATGATGATGATGATGATGAAAACAATTGTGATGACATTAAGATGTCAGAGCCTCAAGCAGAAACTGTAACTCTAAGCACAGAATCAATTTCATGTATTGAGGATGTATCTTATAAGCCTAAGTTTGATCGAGAGAGTAATAACCTGGTGGTGGAGCCCACCAAAACCAAGAGTCAGGATCGAAGTGAACCTGTAAAATATACAATTGAGGCATTGGATTCAAAAGTCAAAACACGTGGACACTTGGACAAAAGTGAAAAATCTCCTGTTAACAAGGTGGAAAATGAGTCCAGTGACTTGAGCGAAGGTTTTCAGCTGGAAAGTGTGAAGGATAGCCAACCCATAATTGAACAGAGTGTCACAAATGTGCCAGAGATCGCACAAAAGTCCTCTTCCACATCTGTGAAGCCATCAGTCAAAGATAGTCAAATTTTGGGTTCAAAAGAAACCAGCAACATAGCCAATTGGCAGACTGAACCGACAACAGATTCAATTGAACTGTCTAGTCATAAAGTAAGAAATGCCAAAACCTTTGGCACAAAGTAAGACATCTGCAGCTAAGATGGTGCTTAAATTGAAACCAGAGGAGTGCGATGATTTAAAAGAAGGTCTGGATCCTTGGAGTGCCGAGCCAAGTCCACCATTCAGTGAGAAGAGCTTTACCAAAACACTGCCATCATCCTCTGTTGAAGTGATGTCATCTGTTCAGTCAAAAAATCGCCCAAAAGAAGACCCTTCGCTCTCTCCTTTTGAAAGACCTGAAAATGATGTACAGCAGAAGAAGGCTTCCACTAAATCCCACCGTGAAGAAGCTGAACCCAAGCCCTAAGACCCTCCGCAATGTTGTTGAGGAAAGTAATAAACCCTCTGTGGAATCACGGCCTCCCATCGCTGAGGACAAGAGCCCAGCACAGTCACTGCCTACGCAGAAGGTAGAGGCCCTTGTCTGGAGCCCCACTCCCGAAGGAGGTAAAACAAAAGGCTTTCCACAGGCATCAGCCCGTGTGCCGCTGACGGATTCCAAACCCACGCAACCACTAGTTGCATCTTGCCCTCCAGTACCAAAGCAGAGCCCCGCAGATCCTGAAGCCAAGACCAAGAAAACGCTCAAGGTTCTGGTTCTTGATGAAGACGACATGGACGACGTAATTACAGCAACCTTTGGGGAAAAAACGGAGCCAGCTCCATCACCTGCTGGCCTTTTTTCTGCCAAGGATAATATGTGGGGCGGCACCAAAGACCAATTCGGCACAAGCAACAAGTTACCTACAGCAGCCTCCAGCTCACCTTTGTCCAATACTGCCGCTTGCTTTAACGTCTCAACCTCCGGGTCCTCGGCTGACATTTTTCCTGCTTTGGACCACAAGTCTGCTCCTAAATCTGGTGCTGCTCCTGTAGCTTCTGAACCCCACTGTGAGTCCGAGGGTGAGGCCCAAGCAGCCAGCGTAGCACGAGTCCACCTGGCAGACATCAACAGTCGGAACAGGTGAGACATATGGGTCTCCTAGGGACAAATCAGGTCATGTTACTAACAAGCAGGGCTTGGGTGCGCCTCTAAGCTGCTTGCTTTGCACGCCAGTGCTTCTGTGGTCATTGTATTTGTGAGCCCTTGGGGCTCAAGGCATTAATCAAGCATTTAATCAGCCAACTGCCTCGGTGTCGGCCGTCTATATGTAAATATAATTCAGAAACAGTTTACAAAACAAGAGCATGTTTACCAAACTCGTACGAGGCTACGCTGTCATTTTATGCACTCGGGAGTGCCAAAATAGTAATTATCATAACACTTAACCAGGTTATGTGGATTAATAACATTTTTAGGCAACAAGGCATTGTGCACCAGGTGGCAGACGCTGTATTAGTACACAATGACGTGCCGCATCAAAGAGCAATTGGAAACGGCACGTGGCAAACTCGTGTAAACTCACCCGGCAATCTCCCCACCCTCGGGTGCAATTCGGGGACAGCCCTTTCAGAAAATAGTTAAAGCAGTAATTGAAGAAGCCAGTCGAACACTGTTCGGCTATTACCAAACTCAAGTCCCCTTGTGTCTCCAATCCACATGGCACGTGGCAATGAATGGAGGGGGACTTATTGTCTGTGGAATTGCAAATGACGAGCTCCCGGGTGTGGTGAGCAGGCACGTGCTCCCGCTGTTTTGACACTTACTCTTGGTGTTTTACAATAGCCGCAGCTGATAGGGGGGGGGGGGGCAGGCTTTTCGCTGGCCGGCTGTGGTGTGAAGTTGACACTGCACAAATCTCTACATCGCTCCGCCTGTCATCGCCATCCTCCGCACACTCTTTCTCTCTGCTCCCTTGTTTTCATCTCTTGATTACTTCTTGGGTTTTACTAACATTCTTTCCCCCTGTCCAGAATATTGCTGTTTGTAGTTATTCGTTATTCCAACTGTTTTTCTTTACTTGTTTTGGGGGATTTTTTTGGGAAATCAAATGTGAAAGTAATCTTGGAGTGATATGAATATTTCTTTATTCATGTAACGATTTTCTCCGTGCGATTCGATGAATTGTCAATTATTTTGTCGTTGGGATGTTGGCTACCAACAACAAGGCAACTCCTATGACTAATTGGGAATGGGACGCAAGCGTAGGATTGATCACCCTGTCGCTGGCCGCCTTTGGGGAGGGTGTATAGTATGAAAGGCCGAAACACCCTAGGACCCAAAGGTTCACTACTGACGATGCGCTCCCCAAATTTCACCAGGCTCACTGTTCATGAACTCTTGGAAGTGCTTGCACAAAGGATAATAACATCTCATCCTGTGTTCTTTGGAATCTTTGTGATTACATTCAACTATCAGTTATTTATTTGATTTATCTCTTGTACATTATTGTTTACGAAGTTATATTTGCTCTTTTAGCCTCAGGGTAACAATCGCATGCCATTGGCATGTAATATGCCTGAATGATAACATCGATTCTCACAACGTGATTCTCACACACACACGATTCGATGCATGTATTGTGATAATTTACTCAATGATTAATTGACGCATCATTACATGCCTGATCCTTTTTCGCTGGCTGCATTAAAGCATGATCGCTTGGATTGTGTGCCCTGTGTTCGTTTCTCTTTAACGTTTTGTTGATTTCACCCACCCCGCTGCAAAACCAGCACACCACACCCCATCAAGCCCATGCGAATCAGGGCAGTGGAACTTCCCTCCAACTCCAGCCCTGTTGCAGCCCCGAGGGAGACAAGAAATCAAGGCAAGCGGCCGGCACCGGCGGTGCCCGGCGGCTTACGGATGAACGACAAGGTGAGGGCGGCCAAGCACGGTGGTGGCGTTCGGGCTGTGAACTCCTGATGGACAAGGGACCGTGTGTTCCAGGGGCAGGGTAACATACGGCGGTAGGGCCTGCGACTTAAATGCTTTACGGCCCATGGCCTACGACATGGAAACGGTCCACAAACTATCCAACCTGCAAACATCGTAGCCACACTCGTTGAGCAACAAGAGTGACTGAGGTCCGTGTTAATGCATGGCCCATCAAAGGTTTTTGAAAGTCCTATTTGGCCTTCGGCAATGAAAAGGTTTTCCGCCTCTAATGGGCAGACTGGGCAGTGGCCCAACAAGGCAGTCCTGCGTGTGGACTTCATCAATGTGGCATTTAATAGTTATTATTTGCAACTAAATTTCAACTGTAAAAAAGCCCCACATTTTACTAAAGTACATGATAAGTCTTAGTTTTTCTTTGTGTTGGCTATATTTACTTGCAAAGGGTTTTGTTCATATCTACAGTTGTGTTAGTTTAATAAGTCACTTTGAAAATCGTTCTTTTTACACCTTTGCGTGCAGTGTGCAAAGTAGGGGGCCCGCATTGCAATTCACCGGTCAGAACAGTTGTGAGAAAATTGCAATAATTCAAGTTATTATTCTCATAATGAGATGGTCCTTCTCTAGCTTTGCCTGCAGCTATTCTTTGATGGCCAAATTGTACAAATATATATCTCACATGAGTGCCAGGAACGAGATAAATTGGTCGAATCGTTCAGAGGCATTTAGGCACATGCAGCAGTAGGTGAGAAGAGACAATGATACGTTTGGTGAGGGAGGCAAATGCCCCGTGGAATGTTCGTTTTAGCGAGGCATGGCTGGATTTTCTGTCCACGGCCCGATAAGCTGACAGACTTTGAGCCAACTGTGATGAGCTGCAAGTCCAATGCTGCTGTAATAAAAGCATGGGATTTAGTTACAATTTAAACATAATAGTAAACTATGCTAAACCGTTAATATGAGCGTTTTTTAACCTCGGGCTGTCTTTTAGCACGGGCGTCACGTGGCTTAAAATATTTTAAGTGGCAGCAAAAAGGCTGATATTTTTGGCTTTGGCATTTGGATCATTTAATTGCGTGTTTCAATGGCGATTCTTGTTGTGCCTTTGCTTTAAAGCTGACAATTTGTGCATCGTCTCTAATAAATAAATAAACACTTTTGAAGCATTTCATAAAACGGTGTTTACGCACACTACGTTGTTCGAATTAAAGTAACACATTAATGCTGCCTTTTGACAAACAAGCAATAATTACAAAGAGTGTTGATGCATGTTTTGTTTAGAAATTACTCCATCAGCACCTGACAATTTGTAAGCTAATTTGCCAGGACTACAGTTATAAAAAAAAGGAAAATGGTCATATCAAGCAGACTGGTGATCATGGGGGAAACAACACCATTTACACACTGCTTATTGTCATTAGATACACACTGTTGTTTCATGGCATTTTCTTTCGCTGTTATTATGCAGTTTATAAAACTGACATTTGCAGCTGTCCGCTAAACACTTTTCATTTTTTCTGTTTTGAACTGCCTCTGGTGTAGCTGAGCCATAACTCTAAACTGATGGATTTTCATTGACCATTTCATTCCCGACCATAAAAGCGATTCGTCTTGGACATCGATCAATGCAATTCGTCGTGCTCCGTCTTATCAACAAAACTTGTTTTTTTACCCCCCCCCCTACTCCATCCACCTTACCCATTTCTCCCCTCCCCTATCTTCTCTCTCCCACGGACGGCCGTGGCTTAAAATAAAAAAAAAACGCATAAAGGACTTGGCGACGGAGATGCGCGAGAGCCAGGGAGGCCAGGACGAAGGGCCCTACGCGCACCTGACGCGTGCCGAGCTCGTGCAGCTGCTGACACGGCAGCAGGCGGAGCTGGTGGACCGAGAGCAGCGCATCCACGCCATGGAGGACTACATCGACAACCTGCTGGTGCGCGTCATCGAGGAAACCCCCGCCATCCTGCGGCAGCCAGAGCGCGGCGCGGGCCGCAAGGCCGGTCGGGTGTGGTGACCTTGCAGAGGTTCACCTCTGACGCCATCCCATCCCACACGTGTCACCCTTCTTTATTTGTCCCACGTGAAAGAGACACGTGACGTCGGTCGACTACGTTGGCAGTGGTGTTACGAGCCCAGGCTGGTAAAAACCTCACCACCGTCACCATCAATGCTGTCTTTTTAACAAACAAGCAATAATTGTGTGTATCCAGAGCAGAGAGCCATTGCCCCAAAACGCTAGCTTACTGCACTGTAATTCTGTTGTAAGCAGTGCTAATGATGATGGTGGTGAGTTTTTTTTTTTTTGTTCAGCCTCGGCTTAGAAATTGACAAATTCTCGGGCGAGCACCATCGAGGGCACGCTGAGCTCAACGGAGAAACTCCTCTTGGCATGATGCTCTCCCATTGCAATGTCGTAAAATTAGTAGTTCAAGAAGGAGCGTGGTTAAGTAGCAGGGGGGGGGGGGGGGGGCGCCCCAAACCAATCCCTAATCCCCCTGCGAGCTGTGCAGGTGGTGCTGAGACGTACAGTGGAGACGGCGATAGGGTTGAGCGCTGCAGGTGCTGAGCTGAGCGGCTGTCCCTTGAAAGCCACCAGCCTCCTGCCCCTTCTCTTCCGCCACTCTTCAAACAGCTCCTGTTTTTCTCTCTTTCGTACCTTCCTTCCCTTTACCTCGGCTCCGCCGCGCCTTGGAAACCCCCTCTCTCTGTGAGATAATCTTCTGTGCCTGCCCCTGTGGTGACCACACGGCCGCTCCCGACTCTCTAATCGGCTGTGGGAGGATGCAGCCGCGAAGTTTCGCTGTGAAGCGTGCTGTGCGGAGCAGCGCGCCGCGTTGGCAATTATAAACGGTGCCTTCACAGCGCATGTCGCGAGACACTGGGTGGGGGCGGTGGTAGTTTTTAAAACGCTGGCGCGACCACTGACAATGAATGCTCACTGGGGAAATTGGTGCGCGGGGTGTGCGGCATTCTTCCAAGATTCAAATACTGTATCCTGCTTCCTTGCACGTTTTGATTAAAACAATAATTTGTGGGTTTAAATCTCACAAAGATTAACGTATAAAAACTCGTTCTTTCAGCATTTAGTCTTAAAATTTGGCGTATCTGATGAAATGTAAGGGGTTTTTTTTTTCCTCTATCCCAAAAATACAAATTGTGTAACCGTCGTGTAACAATGATGATGACAAAGGGTGCACAGTGGTCTTCGTGCAGATGCAATTAATTTTTATCCTGGAATGTTATATACCAAAGGGCTCTCTTGATAATTATGCACTGTTAGTACAACGTCCAATATGCTGTTCTCTTGAGTTCACCGAATGCTGATGGTGATTTGTTTTTGTTCAACTACTGTTTTGAGCGCCGCCTTGGTTCTGTTGCGCTACGGATTAACTGTTAGCACCCCATGCAATTTGTAAAGCATATGCTGAGATTTCCTCCAGTGCGTCTGATTGCGGTTGCTCTCCAACAACGGGGGATCACGTTGGAATGTTTTGCCTCATTACTAAGTAAAGTGGCCTCCTGCACAAAAGCCTTGAAGAATGAAGTGCAAGATTTGTCGCACTAAAAATTATACACTGGCTTCACCTTACATTACTGATATTTAAATGAATTCCATGAATAAAAAGAAATAACAACAGACTTCTGTTACATGTATACGGTATATTACAGTGTAGGCTGACGATATGTCTGTAATTGGTGGCGTGGTTGCAATTGTGCTGTTTGTGACATGTCAGAAAGACACTGGAGTGCTGGACTGGCATATGGGGCCAGTAGAAATCTCATAAAACACTAATAATAATTAGAAATAGTTTTGTGTGTTCACTTTGTCTCACTACCTTACGGGTTTTGTACTTTCAGTGTTCGGTTTTGTCTCACACTTGTAAGAGCAAAATGAACTTTGTTTGGCTGGTACAGAGAAAAAAGGTATGCGTCTACTGAGATTACATCTCGACTATTGCCATCAGGTTCCTCATACAGCGTTGGCTTTTTTGGCAAAAAAAACATCGTGTCCCAACCCACGTGGCATGTGCATGTTCATGCTGCATAATGTCAGAGATTCTCTGTGTACGTGAGTCCGTGTTTGCTTACTTGAGGGATTTTTTTTTCAAAACCGTACAGGATATTGGTTTGTATTTGTGGTTAAACCGGTGAAAATTATTATCCGTGGAAGCAAACTCGGTGCACCCTTCAGCAAAGTCATTTGAAAAACAAGCTGATTTTTGGCATGCAGACGGATGGCATTTTTTTCATCGATTGCCATTTAAATGTTTCGTACGGATGACATTTCAAATAAAGCCTTCACGTGATATACATGACTATAATGAGATTAATTACAAATCAAAGGAAGTGTGAGGCAAAATAAATCCTGACTTAATATTGTACAAACACTGGTTTTGTTTCTTGCTTGTTCATTAAACCAAAAATGAAATTCAATTTGAGTTCAACCAATGTAGTCATTTGAGAGATTTCTATTGGCTCCCAATAATTTCCTTTGTTAAGTTCAAATGTTGCTTTCGAGCGTGGAGAACATTCCGTTGGTTTCTGAAGTAATTTCTGTATATTCTTATGTTCCTAAAATGCTTATAATTGTCGTTAGCACAAGTATCGTTTGCTTAGGAAATATATCCTTTCACAGAAATTATATAAATATTTAAAATTCGGTGGACGTGTAGGCGTAGTTTCTGCAAGTACACAATATTAATGTACAACTCTATTTAAAAGTTGACTGTAGTCTTCCCTCTAATTGATGACTCACGCCAAATGACCTACAATAACATGAAACGATTAAATAATTACTTGTATATTGAGTGCCTTCATATCGGACGTATGGCGTTTGTAACACAACCTATGCATGGACAAATATCGATTGGATCTTAGTCACAATATGGTGAAGGAGGTATGTTGGAAAGTGGTTTATTATTAATAAAGTATTTTATTCTGTAAAATGGCTGTTACGGGTCCTCGATTGTTGCGGATTTGCACTGAGAGACAAATAGGAACATGTGGAGGTTATACATATTGTTAATAAAGTGTGCTTTGTCTGACACATCACTAGATGGAAAGAGTGTCAAGAATAGCGACAGGGAGTGGCAGCAAAGGGAGGGAACTCGCCCGAGAGGACGTCCACTATGAGATGGAACCATGAAATCGGTTCGCGTGCAGGTGCTAGGTGGATTGTTGTGACGCGGAATCACGAGGGGTGGTTTTCGCACAACAAAACATTCCTGCTGCGGAGGGAGCTGGTAGGAACGTTGGGTTGCTCGCTCAATGGCCAGGGTCAACGGCGGCGTGGTGTATTCCGCAAATATGGCCGACTGTGAGGGCGGGCACAAGCCGGCGTGAGTAGGTTAAACGTTGAGTTTTATAAGGGCACCACGGGGTGACCAGCCCCTCCCTACCCAGCCCCTCCCCACCCAGCCCCACCCCTCCCATTTTTGGATGCACGACGGACGGACGGACACAATAATCCCCTATGGGCTGGTGGAACCAGGTGGTTCCTACCAGTAAATCCAACGGCTGCAGTGCTGTAGCTTGTGCCATTGATAGCTGTAGCTGAATTGCCTGGAATACCCCCAATCTCATCCCTTCTCAAAAGCTAAAGAGAGCTGTGTCTGGATAGTGCTTGGATGGGTGACCGAGCTTATGAAACGCAGATGTAATATACTAATACTATTTTTATTTTACCAAGTAAGGCCCATTGAGTTATATACGTCTCTTTCAGAAGCGGCCTGACCACATGACAGCTCAACGAAGTGGCTTATGTGGACATTTATAGCAGACAAATATTGTCCTCTCCAAGCGCATGTTTCTAAATGTGAAGGGACAAACCGGAGGACCCGTTGTAAAACCTACGTGACCACGGGGAGAACATTAAAACTCAGAAATGTACAGGCGTCGGGGTCGGGATCGGGATCGAACCCACGACCTCCTGCATACCAGGCGAGGTAGTCAACATCTCCCTGCTTGGGCGCCCCGTGTTTGCTGCGAGGCTATGCTGTCATCAGCGCAGGGCAGCAATATCCAAGGCCCTGTGGCTCTGTCCATCTGTCTACGCTACCAATTTTCAGCAGTGCACAGTGACTATGGAGTGGCGATGTTCTGGTCATAAGAGACCCACGGAGACAAGCGCGGCATGAGCATGCGGTGGGTTGATTAAAGGGTTGTGTAGATGCAGCCTATTAGAAATGTACGTTTCATACGTGACTGCTTCGTTCAACACTGGAGTTTTATTATATTGGAGGAAACGGAGCAAATAGACTATTGTGAGCAGCCAACGTGTCTCCATGTTCAACCAATAGGGAGTGGTGTAAATGACACATTTCCATGACATGTGCCCGTCCGATTGCGACAACGTAACAACACCGTCCATAATCAACGTTTTTGGGTTTAGATCGCGTTATTTATAAATGTGTCGTAACCCTCCACCACCCGACACGGCCAATCAGTAAAAAAGTGTCACGTTGACAAAAGACAATTAGTTCAACGTGACACTTTTTTACTGATTGGCCGTGTCGGGTGGTGGAGGGTTACGACACATAAATAACGCGATCTAAACCCAAAAACGTTGATTATGAATAATATTGGTCGCGAAAGCCTACGTGTTAAACTAACAACACCGTGTTTGACTCGGTGTATTCATATTTACAGCCCTTAATACACCGATGGATGTCGGCCTCCCTACACCCATGTAGGTTGTGAGGTTTGCTCGGCCATACTTCACCACGCTGGTCAGTGCGTTTTGATAAAGAGGCGAGAGGGGAGAGGGGGTGGCTGGAACTGGATGGGATATAACTCGCCAGTTTTGTTAGTCGTGACCGAGACCTCGCAACTCGGCTCACCACAGTTCATCGTGCAAGCGTGCTAACCACTGCACCCACCGCTCCATATATATGTGTGTATATTTGACTCGGTGACTTTTGTAATATCATCCGTCGCTTTCACTCCGCCAATAGCCGAAAGCAAGGACGCGCGTGCGCATCACACAACCAGAACAATTGCGTCTGTGTATATTTAAACATCTTATTAAGCCTCGGCGAAGTTCATTAAAACACTAGATAGTGTTTCAGAGGCCGTTTAAATGTAATAGTATATGTGTTTGCACCGGAGGCGATGTTGTGGCGTCTTCCTCTGTCCTACGCACTCCCCCCCCCCCTCATTCGTATCATATGTGCCCTGTATACATAACCTGTGCGTAAACGCGTCTCCCCTATAATACACGGGGCCAGAGGACAGTGGATAGATACGCCACCCCATTAAGACTCAAACGATACGGGGGGGGGCTCCCTGCCATTGTCAATAACGGAGAAATCTCAGCTCTGAATGGCTTCTGATGTCCCGAGTTAACCAATACCCCCCCTCCCCAACTCCTCTCTCTTGTGTCGAGGTGTCAGCGCGTGTAGACGTCGGTCTGGCTCGATTCTCACTTCACCTCGGTTCGCTCTGACCAGGACGAGAGCACAACAGCGAGCGGAGCCACGTGACTCCGCTCACGATCACGCGCCAGCTGTGATGGTAGCGTCAGGGCCACAACCACCACCACCACCCCCACCACCACCACCCAACACCACCACCACCACCCCCACCACCACCCCCACCACTACCACCCCCACCACCACTACCCCTACCAACACCACCCACCACCCCTACCAACACCACCCACCACCACCACCCCCACCACCACCACCCCCACCACCACCACCACCCCCACCGCACCACCACCCCCACCACCCCGACCACCACCACCCCCACCACCACCACCACCACCCCACCACCACCACCCCCACCCACCACCACCCCACCCCCACCACCACCACCACCACCACCCCCACCCCCACCACCACCCCCACCACCACCACCACAACCACCCCCACCACCACAACCACCACCACCCCCACCCCACCACCACCACCACCCCCACCCCCACCACCCCCACCACCACCACCCCCACCACCCCCACCACCACCACCCCTACTCCCCCCACCACCACCACCACCACCACCCCCATCACCCCCACCCCACCACCACCCCCACCACCACCACCCCCACCCCACCACCACCCCCACCACCACCACAACCACCACCACCACCCCCACCACCACCCCCGCTGCTGCGATGGAAATTTCTGCCGCTCTTATTAAAGGGAACCAGGTGTCACTTCGTGTGTCCAAATACGAGGGGGGGGGACGCATTCAGACCACCTGTCAGAGGCCCCTGGGGCTTTTAAACGGCACACGTGTGTACATATATATTTACATCATGCATTATATATACAGTACTAAAAACGCGGGCTGTGTGTGTTTGTGTGCTCGCTGACAGCACTTGCCCCAACAGTCTTGTCGAAGGCTATACGGAGGATCTTTGTCTCTTTACGTATATATATTCGCGGGGAGCTGTCGTGTAGCGGTTAGCGCGCTGCGTTACGAACGCGGCCACCCGAGTTCGATTCAGGCTCACAGCCAACACCGGTGACGATTATATGAACCGGTCCTATGCATCCTTCCCTGGATCGACTTAGCCCCCAATGAGTACCTGGTGCGGTGTGTCAACATAGCCACAGGAGAGACAAAGGCGGTTGGGTGTGGTACTGGCCACCCACCCCCTCGTGTACCGTGCCTGACTGCATAGGTGCTCGCTAACAGCACTCTTTCCCCAAAGGTATGTTAAGGTTATACGGGGGATCTTTGTATAGTGTGGTTTGTTGTCCTTCCCCGCACCTCCGATTAGCACGGTTGGCTACGTACGGTGCGAAAGAAGTTCAAATATACATACATAGCCTTATTCTGGTCTGCACAGACCGCTTTGCAAGCTTTCACGTTTTTAAATCCTTTATATTAAGTTCGCTTGCGTGCTTGCGTGCTTGCTTGCTTGCTTACGACCGTGCAAATCTTTCGGTCGTTTTTTAACCCACTTCCCGTGATCCAATCGAGCTGACATTTTGCACACAGACTCGTTGTGCGTGACAATTAATTTTCGTGAAAATAAATTTCCAAATTTTTACACTGTTTAGGGAAAATTTGTTAAATATTTAATTACCAATTGCTTAATGCTGGCAGACAATAATCTGACCCATAGGTGGCAGCCATCTCAAGCCAGAGGACGAGAGGACTCTAGCCGCCACGCATATAAAGGATTTAGAGTGAAAAACTTTGTTTTTATGGGTTATACTTATTATGTTTTCCCCGTGGTCGCGTGGATTTTTCTCCAGGTCCTCTCGTGTTCCCCTCCACATTTAGACTCAGCATGCGTTTCGAGTGTCTGGCTGCTATGAATGTCCACATGCGAAGCCAATTCGTTGAGCTATCATTTGCCGGCCAGGTCGCATCTGACAGAGAGCCAATAGAGCTCAGCGGGCCTTGACTGTTCAAATAAAAATAGTTTAGCTTAGTTTTAGTTTTGGCGATACTGCCTTGTATTGAATCCATCTGTGCGGATTTTTCAGATGTCGACCAGAGCTTGTCTGGAGTTGTCGACACGTGCTCGTGAGATGGCCAAAGATGCTGTGTGTTATCTGTGTGTCATCTCCTCGTACGTGTGTTTACGTGGGGGGTTTTGTTCCAGCAAATGTCAGTTTCCTCTCAGATCGAGCCATACACTCATTCGTGGAATTGGCCGAACAACCCAATCAATGGATAAAAAAAAACATCATTACATGATTTTTTTTATTGTATTGTCATTTGCCCATTCCTTCGCGAGTGTGTTTGAGTTGGGAAAACAATCACGGTGCACGCGGCAAAACCACGCTTTTACACGGGGGAGGTTCTCAGAAGTCCGTGCAGGTACAGGGCAACACCCTTCTTAGGACGTTGCCTTCTACAAGCCATCGTAATGCTGCAGTGTTTGTGTCTCACGCAAAGCTCTGTTACCACCCGCCTTCGGTCTTGGTGGGATTTCTCTAGGAACTCCCCCCCCCCCCACCTTCCCACCAACGTGGTATTCTCATTGTTGA